GTGGGGAAAAGAGTGTGTGTGTGAGCGAGAGTATGTGTGTGAGGGGAAGAGAGTTGTGTGTGTGTGTGTGGAGGGATAGTGGGGGGAGAGTGTGTGTGTGTGGTGGGAGAGAGAGTATGTGAGAGAGAGTGTGTTTGTGTGTGTGTGTTTGTGAGAGTGTGTGTGTGTGTAAGAGAGTGTTTGTGTGTGTGAATGTGTGAGAGAGAGAGAGATTGTGTGTGTGTGTGTGTGTGTGTGTGTGGTAGGAGAGAGAGTGTGTTTGTGGAGGGAGAAGAGAGTTTTGTGTGTGTGTGTGTGTGAGAGAGAGAGAGTGTTTTTGATAGAGACGGTGTGTGTGTGTGTGAGAGTGTGTGTGTGTGTGTGAGAGAGAGAGTGTGTGTGTTTGAGAGCGAGTGTGTATGTGAGAGTGTGGGGGGGAGAGAAAGAGAGAGTGTGTGTGTGTGAGAGACATTGTGTGTTTGTATGTGTGTGTGAGAGAGAGAGAGAACTGGTGCCACTAGCCAGCTAAAAAACTACATGGTTCCATGATGTGAATGAGGTCCTCAAAGGTCACCAAGTGCTGCTCATACTCTATGCTGATCACCTAAGGAGACTAGATATGTAATAACAAGCCGAGGTTTTCTGTTTGCAATCAAGTTGACCAATGTTCTACTTCACAGGAAGTGTAAAATAGCTTCCCTAATTGTCCCCTCCCTCTAAAAACCAGAACCCATTCCCAACCGATTGATTCCAACTCACGGCAATCCCACGTGTCCCAGAGTAGAATTGAGCTATATGGTTTTCTTTAGGTGTAATCTCAATGACAGCAGATCACCAGGCCTTTCATCCGAAGTGCGGCTGGATGGGTTCACGCCTCACCCTCCTCTAGCCTTTGCTGATTTGCTGGGCATTCACTAGTAGTGCCAGGTAATAAATGCTTTTCTTGCAACAAATCATTTAATCCTCATAGCAACTGCACGTGGCAGTCCCACTTACCATCCCATGTTACAGGAGGCTTAAATTGTTTTAACAACCAGCCAACGTTGGTAGCTGTGGAGACAGCCCCCAATCCTAGCCTGTGACCCATGTTAAACCTGCACTTTCCTCTCCACGTGGTCTGCGGGGCGGCTGACTTACGTTGTAGACCTGGTTGGGGCCCTGATTGTAAACGGGACCGGGACCGTCTGCGCTCCTGCCGAACTAGAAAAGAGGAGTGAATATTGTCAGGCTTGCAAGGGATTTTCAGGGCCAGAGGTTGCCTAATCGAAAGCCTCATCCCAGCCTTAGGCGGCAAAGTAATTCGTGCCCTGCCCGCTGTGGCTGGTCCCTTGCAGGTGCTGGCAGCATGGCAGCTCCTGTCTCCTTCTGCAGTGACAGGAGCCTCTACTGTGCTGGTCTAGGACCCACTGCAATACCTGTGCCCACCTCTAGCGCATGCGCACAAGTGCCGGGTTCTCGGCTGAGGGTCCATCCTCCCCAGATGCTGGAGACAATCCCAAGGGGAAGGTGACAGCACAATGTCCTGCTTCCTCTCCGGACCCCTAGGGCAGGTGTGCCCAGCCCTGTGCCTCTGACCCCAGCCAAGGGAAGGCTGGTACTTGCTCAGCATTCAGATGCGCTGCCCAAAGAACACACAGCCAGCCTTGCTCTTTCTTCAGCGCTCCCAGGCCTTACCATTCAGAGCATTGGAAACAACTTAGAGAACATCTACTGCAGTGTCTTTCAAACTTTAGACAATCAATACAACTCTCTTTTCCAGATGGAGTCCTGAAATGATGACGGGGAAATTGGAGTCTTCCCTTCCCCCTCAAACTTTCCTCCTCTTGCCCACCCAACACAGCTGCTCTGAGAAATGTAAGGTCTGTAAACACCAGCTGAAAGCCCATGCTGTGAGCCAACCCAGATGAGGAAAGTGAGAGAAAGGTTGGCATGCCCTTGATCAGCAGCTGGGCACTGGGACCTGGGAAGAGATTGTGGGTCCCCTATCTCCCATTCTTAGTTGCCTAAAGCAGAAGCCCTCTCCTGGCTGTCCCCAGTACTCATGCCCAGGCCATTCTGATGCACACACATTTGCACAATTTCTCACAGGGTGCCAGCACCAGGCACCAGGCTCTTCTTCTCAACCTACTGGGCTCAGCTCACACCCCTCCCCAGCTCCCCAGCCCACCCCATATGCACGTCTGCTCTGACCATCGACACTGAACTTGAGCCACTAACCAAGTGGAGAAGCCCACACCTTCCGCCAACCACCCCCTGGTACCCACCTTTGCTTTTAGGAAGAGAGCAGTGATAATGACGCCATAGATGAAGAGTATCCCATCCAGCAAGTAGCAGAGTTTGGGGTCCAGCAGTCCAAAGCTCTGAGCCTCTGTGCCAAGAGATATGACTGATCAGTCAGGTCCAGGGTAACTGACCAGTCCTCACCACTCTGGGGGGCCCTATGACCAACTGTGGTCAAGGAAGTCATGGCAAGAGGCTGGAGCTAACCCTTTGGCCCTTCTGACCACAGCCTTCCTCCTGCTGGCTTTGTCCAGCTCCTGGAATAACCCCAGGCTGCTCCAACAGCAGGCCTGGCCACAGAGACTGTGAGGACGGGAGGGAGGAGGGTGGAAACCAGGGACCCCCAGGGAAGGTGAGGCTGCAGTACACCTGAGCAGAGCCTGAGAGAGCCCAGCTGTGTGAGGCTCTGTATGAACCACATCTGGAAGCCAGTGCAAGATGCCCACATCGAGATAAATGGTTCTAGGCAGGTTACAGTGTGGGACTCCCCGAAGCCTATCTGCAGAGCGAGAGTGAACCCCATGAGGGCAGAACCTAGAGGGCTGACAAGGGCAGGCTCACAGATTGGTTGGCCAAATGAGTGGATTTCGAGCTGTAATTATTAGGACACAGATTTTGGTTCACCTCACCCTCCTGGTGTTGCACTGTGGGTTAACACTCTGGACTGCAAAGTCGGTTTGAACCGCAAGTGGTTCAAACTCACCAGCTGCTCCTTGGAAATCCTATACAGGTCTCGATGGCACCACCACCACAACAACAACAAAGAGCAGTTCTGGAGTCCTGGAGTGGCACTGTAGTTATGAGAACTGGACTGCTGACTATAGGGCCAGGGGTCAAACCCACCAGCTACTCCTTGGAAACCCTGTACAGGATACCTATGAGTTGGATCTGACTCAATGGTACTCAACAACAAAGAGCCATACCCTTCTGTCCTATAGGGTCACTGTGGCAGTGGACACATTCTAATAGGCAAATACACAGCAACTCAACTTGTGAAATGGAGATGTAGTATCTAGCTCACCCCAGCCCTACCTATAGCCACAAGAGCAGCAATCTCCAGCCAGCTGAGTTGGAGACTCTCTCCCAAGTCTGGAACGCCCTCTCGTGGCCTTCTGCAGAACTACATCGGTGCTGAGGGAGTGGAGAGTATGACTCCAGTGCTGTCATATCCTAGTTCAAACTCACCAACTGCTCCTTGGAAACGCTATACAGGGTTACTATGAGTTGGAACCAACTCGATGGCACTTTAACAACAACATATCCTTATTAGTAGTGTGTGTGTTTTTTCACACCCCACACACATCTGCCTCTTAAGTTAAACAGGGTGAAAGTTGTCATATTTCTTTAGCATTAAGTTGTCACCTCCTTTCAACAGCACCATAAAGAAAACTGAAGTACAGAGAACTCATTTATCCAGGAACACAGACCAGGTTCAAGCTAGATTCAGATGAGGACATGTAATCAGGGATATCACTGCTGGCATCCGATGGATCTTGGCTGAAAGCAGTGAATACCAGAAAGATGTTTACCTGTGCTTTATTGACTACACAAAGACATTTGATTGTGTGGATCTTGACAAGCTATGGATAACATTGTGAAGAATGGGTATGCCGGAATACTTAATTGTACTCATGAGAAACCAGTAGACAGACTAAGAAGCAGTTGTTCAAACAAAACAAGGGGATGCTGAGAGGTCTAAAACCAGCAAAGGTATGCATGAGGACCTCAGAGACCCAGGCCTTTTCCTCTCCGCTTTCTCTGGATAGCTTCTGGCTCCTCATTCCCATCTGCCATTGCTAGATTCTGCCCTTTCACTCAACTGTGAAAATCAGACCGGTGTCTCACCCACCTCATCTTCTCAATGGCTGTGCAGTGCGATGAAGTGGGTACAAGAACTCATCTCCCATCCAGCACCTTAGCACTAGTTTTAGTCCACAGCCCTGGGTTTGCCTGCCCTGGAAGCCCCCACTGACCACTGATGGGTGGGGACTGGCCCCAGGAGATTGGCCAGCCCCTAGAGAAGGTCACCACAACTGAGGTGATTTTTCCTTCTAGGACTGGAGAGGAAGTGTCAGCTGCAATTTACGGGAGTGTTTGAGATTCAGAAAAAAGACCAGGAGAAAATAGCTCAGTCTGTCCCATAAAATGAGAACAGAAAAATTACCAGACAGTAAATTTAGAGCAAATAAGAGGAAATATTTCTTTGTGCTGTGCAGAGTCAGCACAATGGGGGGCCAGGGAATTGGGTGTCTCAAGACTCACAAGTAATATGGATAGGACTTTTTTCTTCTTTTTAAAAGAGCAGAACAATTGTATGGCTAATGACAAGTGTGCTGTGCATGTCTGCTGGAGGAGAGGTATTAACTCCAATTCACTTTCCTGGGTTGGGAACCCACCCGCCTCAGTCCAGCTGTGCCTTGCTGGGAGGGCAGGCCTGTGGGAGGCAATGATAGCCCAGACAGTACCACACAGGGACTTTAATTCAATTAATTAAACCTGTGCCAGGGGCTGTCACCTTGGGAAATGCCTTGGATGGAGTATCCATGGGCAACAGTCCATTCCTTGCCCACTTACTGCATTCTGGACCTCAATTTCTGCATCTGTAAAATGGAGGCTAGTCATAGCTACTTTGAGGGTCATGTGATAAGGATCAAATGAAACACTGTATCCTGGTGTGGCGCTGTAGGATATGCAGTGGACCCCAAGGTTCACTTCAACCACAAGGTCTGTGGTTCAAACCCATTAACCACTCCTTGGAAACCCTATACAGGGTCGCTATGCGTCAGAACCAACTCGATGACTCTTAATAGCAACAACGTGGTAAAGAGTAAGGGATCCTGGTGGTGCTACAGGATAAGTATGGACTCTGAATCCTGGCTATACATTAGACTCGGCTCAGACTCCTTCCCAACAAATTCTGACTAAGTGGATTTGGGGACATGGGAGATTTCAGTGCATGGACAGATTTGAGGTTCAGAGTTGCAACAAAACACACACGTAGCCAATATTGGACTGAGCTTGTTAGAGGGAAGTTCAGTCTTCCAAATGTAAATTCACAGATAGGAAGAAATTAACAAAGTCTCAATCTTTCTTAAACACTAATTTTTGCATATATAACTAAACTTATCTAAGCCTCAGTGTCCTCATTTGTAAATGCAAATAATAATAACATCTGTCTTATTAGGTTGCTGTTGTTAAGTGCTGTTGAGTCGGTTCGGACTCATAGCAACCCTGTATAGAGTTTCTGAGGAGCAGTTGATGAGTTTGAAGCACCAACCTTGCGGTTCAAACCGACCTTTTGGTCCAAAGCTTTATCCTACAGCGCTACACCAGGACTCTTATTAAGTGGTGGTGAGGATGAAACAAAATAATTCCTATGAGATGCAGGACTTGGCATATAATTGTTGTTACTGTTGATTACGGCCGTCCCGTGTGGGCAGAGTAGAACTGTGCTCCACACGGTTTTCAAGGCTGTGAGCTTTCAGAATCAGATTGCCAGATCTGTCTTCCACGGCACCATTGGTTAGTCTAGAACTGCCTACCTTCTGACTAGTAGTGGAATGCTTCATGCTCCACGATGTCAGGTACTGTGGTGAGCGTGACTTTTATGTTAAGCACATGGCTGGGCCTTTCTACCGTGTAGCATGAAGTACAGAAGAGACCATGTGAGGTGCCTAAAAGGTGTTCTCTATGGACCGCCAGAAATAGAACTATTATTTACTTCTTCTAAATGCATCCCAAACTGTTATAAATCTTCAAGGAAGCAACTGGTCCATAGGACAAATGGCCCACACACACCACAGCCTCCGCTAACCTGAGACCAGAAGAATTAGATGGTGCCCGGTTGCCACCACTAACCACTCTAACCAGGGACACAATAGAAGGGTCCTGGTTAGAATAGAAGAAAAATATAGAAGAAAACACAAATTCATAAAAAAAACAAACACAAACCCAGACTTAACTACACTGACTGAGACTAGAGGACCTCCTGAGACCATTGCCCTAAGATGCCCATTTAACCTGGAATGGAAGTTACTCACTGAGGTCACCTTTCAGCCAAATAATAGATTGGCCTAACCTCAAGGTCAGCAGTTCGAAACTACCAGCTGTTCTACAGGAGAAAGATGATTTACATAAAGATTTACAGCCTCGGAAACCCTGTGCAGGGTCATTATGAGTCGGAACCGACTCCACGGTACTTAA